AATATAAATAATCTTATTTTTGAAAAAAGATAAAAAGAATCTCTTTTGAATTTCCGGTGATATATACGATGTTCCATTGCAAGTTGATTGAAACAATATTTGCCAACCTTTTCAACCATTAAAAGAGAAAACAAAAACATTCAAAACAAAATGAAATTCACAAATTGTAATATAAAAGTAAGGAAGGGTTTCAATTTTAAAAAAACAAAATAAAATATATAAAACAATATCGTACGAGCCAACAATTTAATAATTAGTTCAACAAAAAAATTTACAATTAAAGAGAATCATAAATTGCACCGTTAAAAAATACAAACTTGAAAGGTAAACGGTAGAACTATATCAAAACGGACACTATGAAAATCTTAGTCAATTTTATGCACTTGATCATTGTTTGCTTTTCAAATCAAATTGGTACAAAAATAAATTGATTAACATTATCAAATCATTGCAGACTTTTTAACAGCATTCTTGCACAAAAGAATCAATATTTTTTTTTCCCACACGATCGAACGAAAACGCACAATTCAATCATATTATCCTTTATTTTTTTATTTTGAAAAACACAACAACAAATAATTTTTTTCAAATCAAAACGCTCCATAAGGATTACACAATAATAACAAGGTAAGCCAAAAATGCAGCAAGGATAATTCAAAGCAAATAATAAAATCAAAAAACCAAACTACTTTAACAACCCAAAAAATGAAAGACAATAGAATTATTTGAACTGATTGAATACTTCTCAAGCGTAATTTATTAATAAGGTCAACTTTTATATATGCTCGTCGAATTTCATCTTGTTATTTATGGGATATATTCCAAATATAATGGAATATAAAGTGTTTAATAAGATAACAGTAATTTTCTTTTATTTTTACCAAATTTTGAGTTTCTTTTATTTTACTTTTTCTAATAATTTTTTTTAATTTTCTTTTATTTTGTCTGGGATTTCGATACTTATATATTTACTAAGATGATTTGATAGATTTAGCTGTTGTCTAAAAATTACTAAATGTCTAAATGTAATATAAATTATTTGAATTAACGAACTCAAGTTAAATTTTAGCTATTAGATTATATCACTCTCAACTAGGAACTAAGCGTAGAAATAAATGTATAAAACTCTAGCTAAAATAAAATGTTGTTTAAGTTTTTTCTTTAGTTTTATTTTATTTATTTGTTATCTAGATTGGATCATTTAAAAAAATAACTATAATTAATAATAACCTAATAATAATACTAGGATCAACAACTCATTTCTATCTTTTTTTTTTAATCATTATACATTTCTTTTTATTAATTTTGATATATATATATATATATATTATTATTAATAATATATATATTATTCAATATTATACATTCAAATTTTGTTATTAATTATTTTATTTCAGAGTGAGAGTGAACAATCTTCGTTCTTCCACGTTTAAGGTATGTTAGACTTTGATATATTTTTCCTTCTTTTTATCATTGTCTAAGATTCTTTTATTCAATAATTCTTTTTGATAATATAATGATATATAACTTCCAGTAATGTGTCCATGAAACATTCCCTTAAAGTAAAGAAATAAAATAAACAAATTGCACTTTTACTAAATTCCATATGCATTAGATATAGTCTTCATAACCAGCAAATTTTACACACACTAGTAAATATGAATTGTAATTTATCATACCTCAATTGGAATCAAACTGATTATAAAGCTTGATTGGAAAACAACCATAGACAATTGAGAGAGAGTGTTTTAATAGTTTTGGACTACGTCAAATAACTATTTTGAATATATTTATAACGCTTCGAAAGATAGTTCTATAAAAAAAGCTTTCAGTGAGATCAATACGTGAAACATTATACCCTAACGTGTTAGTGTTTCACTTTTTATTGAAAAATTTTATTGGGTAATCATATGCACCCTTAATTTAAAAACCCTTTTTATTATTTCAATTGCAGCGTGAATAAAACTTCCTCAATTACTTAAGATATCAAAGAGTAAATACTGTAACTGGTCAAACCGTCGTTGGGCTAAAATAAAAATACTGCAACGATACCGAAAAAATCCTTTTAATATAGTTGGAATATAACCATCTATAACGAATTGACATCACCATTTTCATAAAAAATTTAATAACACAGTCACATAATCAATCTTTCTTTTTATTATATGAAGTTTACGTTCTATAGTTATAACTTAAAATTCTAACCTCAATATTTAAATACTTCTTTTTTTTTTTTATCATTTTTTAAATTACAACAACTAATCAAATAATTATATTTTTAAAATCGAACACTTTTTAACTCTAAAACAGCTCATATTAACCAGCTAACAATAACAATACCATAATAATAGTAACAAGCTAACAGCTCTAAACAATGTAATCTTATCCAGAACATCGCCTATAAGCTAGAATGAATTTCGATTAATTATCATTCTGCTAAAAATAAATAAGATAATACACACAGCATTCTATATATAGCAATTAAAAAAATGATTTCTCACAATAAAGCATTATTGGTTACAAGCTAATATACCCACTACATAATATGATAAATGCTGAGCTTGTAGAGTCTCTATTTCAACGTCCTTCTAAAGCTCACTAACACTTTATTTGAAAGGAGAGGAAGGAAAATATTAGAAGGAAAAAAAAAATGATAAAGAAATAATAGAAATTAGAGTGAACTTTCCTTTATCAATAGTCACAATTTTTTCAAACAGTACATGGTGTAATTGGATATCAAATAATGAAAAGAAAAATACATTTTATATATTTCCTTCTGTATTGTAAGGGAATGTAAATTTTAAGAGGAAATAAATTATATCGTTGAAAATTAATAATTATAATTCATCACTTAAATTATAAAAGGCAATATAAGAAATGGTTAGATTTTATTAATTAATTTCGAGGTATTTAGATTAATTTTATTAAAAGTGAATTGTAAATTTCCACTTTTCTAAAATTATGTTCTCATCAATTTAGAAGAGATTCAAATTATATGGACCTGAAATCAAAAATAAGTGAAATAATTAATTTTTCCGGTGAGCACATATATACATATAATTAAATATTATATATGATATAGATCATGAGTTATATCTTTAATTAGCTTACTCTCACCCTTTGGTAACAAAACATATACTCACCAAACAAGGACGAGGCATAATCAATTATACTCGAGCACTAATAATGGACACACATGGCGCACTTAACCGAGGATTTATAAAAATAGGAAGACCATGGAATAAATTCCAAAGGGAAGCTTTGTCCTCATCCATTACGGATAAGGCATGGGTAGTGAGTACTCAAGAATCTCAAATTTCCATATTGCAAATTGAGGAGGAGCAGAAAGCCTCTCATCCCTCTCATCTTAATAGCCTTGCCAGCTGCTACACTGCTACATTAATTCTAAAGATGCAACGTCAACACATCTCCAACCTAAAACGGTAATTCCGTTGCATTAATATAGTTAGACAATTGAGGGCTTGTCTTGTAAATGGTATGAATTTTTATATTTTAAATTTTAACTTATAGGATTTGTTATGATTCACTAAAGCATACTTTGCTCTACTATGATATGACTTGCGCTGTAAATAAGATGTTTATTATTGCCATTTAAACTTTATAAAGTGGCTGGCAAATAAGACCTCTGGACATAGTATTTTGAAATAATAAAGAGAGCATAATTCTAGTAGTATTATAGAGTTTTTAATTTCATAAATGCAAAAATCATAATTGTGATAAATGATAAGTTAGTACAGGCATCATTGTGGCAAAAGACAATAATCTATGTATATGTGTTTTTTTGAATTAGTTTAATAAAGTGTGTTGTTGGATCTAAGTAGAGGTAATGATTATGAATAAAGAATAGGTAATAAAAAAAATATTTAATAAATCGTAATTTAATAAGTTTGAAAGTAATTGTGTAAAAAATGAATGTAACACTACATTGAAATGAGGGGACATTACTGGGAGACAACGAAACTGAAGAAAATTTGCCACTAAAAGAAAAGACCACTATGGGAGTTTAAACCAATGACGCTTTGATCGATCAAAGTGAAATGGTTGAAAATGACAGAAAAAGATTAAAAATAAATAAAATTTAGGGGTAAATATTATTTTCTCTAGATTTAGAAAAATACGAAGAGATCTAGTCCCAGCCATGAAAAGATAGGATCATGACAGAGGTTGAAACATTATTACGAAAAGTGAACTGAATTAGATTCAGTAGATTGGTTTTTTTATAAAAACTTTTGGTTTTTCACATAGAAATTGAAACCAATTTTTTCGTTTTGAATTGCAAGTTTTTTATATAACTGTCCACGGAAATTTACTTTAGTTTGCTCAAAGATAGTTAAAGGGCTGATTCGAAGGAATAGCCAATAAATTGGAGGATCGGTTTTCATTTAATGAATTTATTAT